GTTGTTCTAAGGATAGAATGAGATAATACTTGTAAAGTACTTGCAAACTTTTAAGTGCTACAATTGCTAGTTATTATAATGATAATTAATCTTCCTTTATTTATTATCGCTCTAAATTAGAATGTAAACTTCTTGAAAGAATGGAATGTCTTGGTTTTCTATTTGCATTATTAGCAGTTAACCTAGTGCTTGGCATATACTAAGAGCTTAATAAATATTTTTCTAATCCATTCCAGTTGTAAATGAAGATCTAGAGCTAAAAGAATCATAGAATAGTAGAGCTAGACGAAAACATAAGAGATCATCAAGTCTAATTTCATAGGAAATGAGGTATAGAGATGAATTGAATTGTCAAAGGTCACAGTGTTTGATTTTGAACCCATGTTTTTCAAAGGAGAGAGATCAGAGCTAGAGAAATGACTATTGGTCACATAAAAATGAGTTGAGGCTATGATGGTAGATTACCAGAGAAAAAAGTTTAAAGAGAAGAGATGATGTACAAAGATAGATGCTTGCAGAATGTCAACATTTAAAGGCTAGTCAAAACAATTTCTATATAAGAGAAGCATGGTAAAATGAACAGAATCCTGAATTTGAAATAAGAGGGCCTTGGTTAAAATAAATCCATATCCTGCAGTTTACTACTTCATCAACTGTGGTTAAGTCACTTTACCTCCATGGGTGGCAGTTTCCACATTTGCAAAGTAAGGGAATTGGACTAGATTCCAAGGTTCCTTTGTGGTTCTAAATCTTACAAAAAGCCCTTCTTTTTCAAAGATACTTTTGTGTTATCTCATCTGATCTTTAAAACAATCCAGTAAAGTACATAACAAGTAGTAATATTCCCATTTTACAGATCAAGGAAACTCTAGAAAAACTTTAGAAACTTAACTTCTAAGAGTTCCAAAAAGTTATAGTACTTATGAACGCAAAACTTCTGTCTCCTACATCTCACACTATCATACAGTGAAGATCAATGCGTCCTAAACTGACAGATACCAACCAGAAAGACTACCAAAAAACCAAAGATCACATTGCCTCGTCTTCTCAAGAACATGACTACGCTCAGTTTTTACAGCTGAAACTACAAGAGCAAATCCCGCAACACTGGAAGAGAAAAACATTAGCTAAAGTTCAGGCTTTCAATGCAATTAAACAGAAACATTTAATTTTCACAAGTCTATACTCAATTTATAATCCCAAAAGTCAAAGTGAATTTTTCTAACATACCATGTGGTCATACAGTCATTGCTACAATGACACTGCACTACTCTTTATGGAAAAAGTTTGCTGCTTTGTAGTAAACAGGAAATGGTACTATCGTTTTCATTCTCCTTAATCACTGAGTAACTTATTTCTGAAGTCATGATTTGAATAAAATATGAACAAAAAAGGCACACATCTCTACACGAGTGAAGTCCAAAAGAATCTCTGTTGTGTTCTATATATTTTTAAAGTTTGGTTAGGCCACAACAAAAGTAAAACTTTGATCAAATACTAAAACTTCACAAAGTTCAGTATTTACCCACATCTGAATTTGCACAGTGGGAATTAATTTATTCAGCAAGACTTATAGATTCCTAATTCTCAACATTACTTGTTTAGTACACAAATCTCCATAAATACAACATTTAAATAAATCATTTTAGTACTAGTGAGACAAATATTTTCAGAGAATAATGTTTTTAAATATCACTGACATTGAAGACACAACTATACTGCAAGGAATAATGCAATTCCAGTCACTTATTTTTAGAAAGAAATCTATATCATCTGGAAACACACAAAGGTTACAAAGAAATAACACAGCATTAAGCTTCAATTAGTTATATATTACAAAGATCCTAAGAAGCAAACACATTTTTGCAGTTTTCTCACCCATTAAAAAAATTTTTGGCGATAAAACTGTCTTAGAATTATGTAAAACTATGCAAAACATTTAAGAATTTTGACTGAGAGAAGTACCAGAAATCATTCCCAGTGAAACTGTCATATCCTCAATTACTGAGGGGAGGGGGAAAGTGGAGGGAAGGGAGATGTGAGGAATGGGAGGAATGAAGATAAAAGGAGAGAGAAGGGAGGTGGAAATGGGGAGAGAAGCTCACTGCAGCCCACCATCTGGTAAATTCTCATTTTAACTAATTATTCTTCCTAACTAGGTAGAAAGCTCTGTTGTTTCTAGATGTTAAAGTATTGTAAATGCTGTCAGATCACTCTAAATTTAGTGCCCTAGAGCAAAATCTAAATTATCTACCATCATTACAGCTCAGTTGTGCAAAATAAATTACAAAAAGGATAAAAAGACAACAACTTAAATAATATATTAATCTCTAATAGAAATTTTGACCAGTCCTATGTGACTAATAGTTGAATGCACAACTACCAAAAAGCAGTTTTTTAAAACATCAAAACCCTATACTTATAATATTGCAATTTATATTTCCCTATGATTTGCAACTTTTCCATACCCACTAAATTGCCCACATTGTTAATGTACTGAGTTCTAAACACTGTAAACATTTCTTAGATATGAGTAAGTATCAGCACTGTTTGCTTGAAATTAGACCTAAAGAACCAAATGCTTAACATTTACTTTAGAATACATTGATCAGGGGCAGCTAGGTGGCGCAGCGGATAGAGCACCACCCCTGGAGTCTGGAGGACCTGAGTTCAAATCTAGCCTCAGACACTTACTAGCTAGTTGTATGACCCTGGGCAAGTCACTTAACCCCTACTGCCTCCAAAATTTAAAAAAAAAAAAAAAAGCAAAGAAAGAAATACATTGATCACTATCAGCAAACCTAGAGACTGAGGCCTATATACATCATATTAATGTGTACTTTATACCTTTAGTGATGCCTTAATGGTGCCTCTTGGGGTGAAGTATCGCTAGTACTGAGGTGGGAGACAGAATAATCTAGTGATGAATGCCTAGGAACAAGAAAACCTATAATAACCACTTTATTAAGTATTTGTTCTTATTAAACTGTTAAAGTATAACATAATCCTAATTTTTTTTATGTAGAGGGATTTTATTTATCATTAGTAACCAAAATAATGAAAGAATCTATTTTTTATAAAGAACAGTCGCAAAATTAACAGTCACTGATATGGAATAAGCTATGTGATTCCTCAGCTTCATATTTACATCAGAAATGCAAATCAAATTAGATTAAGTCCAGAAAACATACAATGTAGAAACTTTTTACAATGCTGATAGTAGGGGATAAAATCAATACCCATCTTTTAAGCTAAATGTATATCATGATTGTTGGTACTGAATTTGGGGCAACAATAATTTGATTCAAGGTATATTCAAATCCCAGAAACAAACTATCTTTTATTAAGTTGACTATCCCTAAGTAACAGATTGTGTATGTTAGCTAATATAAAAAATAGTGTCCAAAAGGTGCCAAACAATGATTTAATTGGAAGACCAAACTTGCATATTTTTCTTCAATAGTTCAGTTGAGATATTCAAAAATATGGTAAACTATCACCAATGCAAAGCTTCATTCAATAAGTCCCCAAACCTGTCATGAATATGGAGAAAATGCAAGCAAAACTGAGAAGAAGGAAAAGTACTTTCTAAAGAAGAGACACCACTTCAGGTGTGTTCTGCATACAACACAAAACTTTGAAAGTATATTTTAAATTCTATGTAATACTGAAAATGATATAAAAATGCTTCAATAAAACACTGTGTATTTCTATTCAGTATGTAATTACTTTTTCAAAAAACAGCACATAAAAGGCAAGGAAACTCAGATTTTTTTTTAAATGACCAAAATTGTTTCTGAAGAATATATGATGAAATACAGCTCTCTCTTCTCAATAGAGAAATGTTACATTCGTTCACTGTATCAATTAGTTTTGCTTAACTACTTTTTGACAAAGTGGTTGGGATCTGGTGGAATATGAAGAAATGTCAGTGTAAAAAAAGGCATCGATATAACCTTTTTTTAAAGGAATAATAGGTAATCTTTTTTTAAAAAAAACTCTATAAAGAATTAAATGTCTGCCAATAACTTCTGACACAGAAAATAGCTACACAGGAACTTTGAAATTCTGAGAATGGAATAGTTCCATCCCACTTAACGTGGTCATGTGAGTAAACTGTAACTGCTTACAACTATACTAAAGTCTCTAGTTTTCTAATAACACATTTATTCCATAAGCAGGTGATTTTATAAAGGATAAGTATAAATTAAATTTTTCATTTACTTCATTTTTCTATTTCATTTTATCCCAATAAAAATGACATATTTGAATTATTTGTTTAAACTAAGTGATTTTAATTATTAAAATACAAATTTAAAAACCAAAATATCCTTTATCATCCATGACTTGTCTCAATCATCTGTAGCATCAGTTTCCATTGATATATATATATATATATAGATATAGATAGATAGATAGATATAGATTCCCTTCCACCTATCCACCCACCAAAATTAAAAGCCCATCAAGTTATTATTTTTAAAATACAGCATCCAAATGATCAATGCACTACATTAGAAGTTATATATACTTATGTACATACACACATATATCCACATTTACACACATGTATGTGTATGTGTATTTAAAAACTGTTAAGAGTTAAAGTCATTCTGAGTCATTTATTCAGAATGAAGCTCTTTGGGCCACTTTAGAAAATCACAAAACCTGTAAGTTTCTTCAAAACATATATATAAGGTACAACTCAAAGTCAAAAAGTCAGAGCTAACTTGCCAGTCAAATCATAAAAGACATTCAAGAATTACAAGAAATGTTTTCAAATAAAAGCCAACACCTAAACTGTAACCCATAGCATTATTTTTTTTCCAACTAGAAAACATAATATACTACAGATCACAAGTTTCACTTTGTCCACTGGCTAAGATAAAATGCCAGACATTACATTTTTCTTCTCAAGCAATTCCCAACAGACCCCTAAACTTTTACCAACAATTTAATTTTTATTCTTACTAGTATTTTCAGTTTTGTTTAGGACTTACCCCTCTTCTGAACCCAACCTTCTTTCACAATGGTAACATCGCTCATGATGGCTCCCCTCTGAGCCCTCAACTTCAAGAAAAGATACTTTGAGATATCAGCTTTGGGGTTTGGATTCTCTTTTGCTGCTGCTGCCCTTCCCACTCTCTAGTGATGACTCAGCCTGGAAGGAAGTATTGAAGAAAGAATTTCTTTTTTTTTCCATTCTTGCAACTCATACAGCAATAACAAACAACTAATTCTTTGTAAATGTCTTCAACTGCCTGACCCCACATAAAAATTTGGCTCTTCAAACTAGGGAACTTATTTATTAAATAATTCTATAATGAATGTACTTCCCTGATCTCGTGACATATTTCAATGATAATGAAACTTCTGACTTGAGAAGTTAATAGAAACAGTTTAAAAAAAATCATTGTAATACATAAAGCTTTGTGTTCTAAAGAATAGAAAAAAAAGTTTGAAAGCAGTCTAAAAATTTGTTCTATTTTTTTCTCAAAATTTCGATTATTTTATGACAACCAATCTGAATGCTTTTATTTGCTATTCTTCAGGTGAAACACATAATATTCCAGAAGCTCAATATTCCTTAATACTTCAAGAATTCATCATTTCATCAGTGTGGTAACTACCACTACAGATAGGTATTATAGCCACTCAATACCTTAGAAGAAAGTCTTCATGAGTTACCATGCATGGCCAAAAATTTGTCATTTCATGACTAACTCTTTACAAGTAATCACAAAATAAACCAGTATACGTTTGCAAGGGAGGAAATGGGGGGAGTGGGGAAAAATGACTTTAGTTTATGGGATGTTGACTTTACAATGTCTTCAGGATATCTTTCTAGCAATGGTGATTCACTCAAACAAACTATTTTAAACTCCAACATTTTTATGTAACCAGTACAAATTTTAAGGTTCCTAGGGATTAGGTTGTAATCTAAATCTCTGTGTATGTCCTACAGGACAGTATACTTATCAATAATTGCTGTTTGTTAGTGACATAGCTAGCAAAACAGCTAAATTTTTTAAAAAATACTTCTTTATTTAAAGACACAATATATCCATTAAATACAGAACACAAGTCAGTGAGCATGCAATGTGTTCAGCAGTATTCAGTAATATTGTCTTTATTTACCAGACAATGCAAAAACAAGAAAAAGTGAACTGATTCTGAGTTCAATTCAGCAGAAAGTTACTAGATATCAATTTCCCTTTCTTTATGATTCTGCTTAATGGATGGTATCATACCTTAATTTCCTATTCACATTTGCACATTTTAGTTGTGTTTTTGTCTGAGTGTAGGAAATAGCAAGGCCAGTTTGTCACCATCATCATCATAGCATTTATATAGCACTTTTACAAGTATTATTTCATTTGATCTTCACAACTTCACAACCCTTGGTAGTCGGAATTATATTATTACAATTTTACAAATGAGGAAATCAAGGCTGACAGAGGTTAAGTGATTTGCCCAGGGTCACACAGCTCACATCTGAGACTTTCTGAATTCAGGTTTTGATTCTTTGTCAAGTACTCTTTCCACTGACCCATCTAGCTTCCAAGACTGGCTTGGTATGGGAAGACATGGTATGGAAAAGAGAAAAACATTAAATAGGGGTGAAAAGGTAGGTTAGGATCAGGTTATAAAGGGATTTAAATGTCAACATTTATATTTGATCCTAGAGTCAATAGGGAGCTATCTATTGCAGTTTGGGGGTGGGGAAGTGTAGAGTATGACACTTTACGTCATGTGTAGAGCAGCATTTTAGGAAAATTTCTTTTGCAACTGTGCATAGGATGGACTAGAGAAGGAATACATATGAGACACAGGGAGCAATTGGGAGCACAGTACAATAATTCAGGCTGAAGTGACAAGGGCCTAAACTAGCATAGTGGCTATGTAAGTACAAGGAAGAGGACAGATGCCAAAAATTTTGTGGATACAGAAATTTCAAGATTTAGTAATTACTTAAAAGATGAAAAAGAATAAAGAGTCAAGATACCACCCAGATTGGAAACTGAGATTACTGGAAGGAGGTAAGGTCCCCAACAGAAACAGGGTAGTTCAGAAGAAGAGTAGATTTAGGTGGATGATAATGCATTACAATCTGCAATGGAGTTCAAAACGTCATGCCTGTTTATCCTGTGTGGCTCACTCTACCACACACAAAATAAAAAAGAGAGAAGAGGGAGGAGTTTTTTTAATTACCTTTTTTTAAGAATTACTGCCCTAAAATATAAAGCCTGAGGAAGTGACAAGCTGGGGGTGGTGGTGTAGAATGTAGGTAGAATTTTTCCAGTGGTACCTGTGAAGGTGTTACTGTAGGTACTCTGGTTGCAGTTGATGTACAAAGGGGGAAAGTGGATCTTGCAAAAGCTAGGAGTTAACAGAGTGGGAAGTGTTGAGCAATTATGGGTGAAGGGTAGGTATAACTGTGTTGAAAACATACCCCACAATCGGCTATGGAAGGGAGGGTAAAATAGAACCAATCTTCCCACCCTCTGACTGGTTGACCACAAACCTTTTTGAGTGATGCCACAGCCTACACTTTGGAGACCTGTGCTCAAACCAAACACTTCCACACTAACCGAACAAAAATAAGCTTAGCATTGTTTCCAAATCACTGTCTAAAAAAAATTGATAAGTGGCTCCTTTCATTTGCTAAAAAACACAATTTTTTTAAACTTTTACAATGAAATAAAGTCTTACATAAATTTCTAAATTCCTCTTTCCAACAGAAAATTTCAGCCTAATACTAAAGAAAAGTTCCCTAACCATTAAATCTGTCCCAAAATTAAGTAGGCACTCTCATAAGACAATTAATTCCCAATGTTAGAAGTATTCAAATAGAAATACTTATCATGAATGTTACAGACAGGATTCATGACTGGGGTAGAGGCTGGACAAGATAATATTTGAAGTTCAGTCTAATTCTAAGATTGTATAATTCTGTGATTATCTGTTTATTAAAAGAGGTATCTCAGAGAACTCCACCACCCCCCAAAAAACAAACCTCAGCCTGATTTAAACATCAAACATATGCTATGTTCAATAGTATATTAAATGCCTATTTATGTGCTAAGCCATGTACAAGCTGCTAAAGGACAAAAGTTTCCACACTAGCTCTCATGAATAAATGAATGAATAAGCATTTATTAAACATTTACTATGCTCCAAGCTGTAAGGATACAAATAGTAAAATTAAACAGTCTATGCTCTCAAGAAGCTAACATTATAATCGGAAGAGAGAACATATATAGAATCCTTTGGCAGGGTAAATGAAAAAAGGTCCAGGGCTCCTTAGCAGCAAAGCAGATGGTAATGTCTCAAAGCCTAGACTGCACAGGAACAAAACACATTGTAAGGCCTGATGGTCCTCTATGTAACCAAGACTATAGTTGGTGAACTCCTGTTCAACAAACAGAATGATATTAAGGTTACAATTTAGTATAGGGATGAAAGAAAGAAAGAGAGAGAGAAGGGAAGGAAAGAAGGAGGGAAGGAAGGAAAGAAGGAGGGAAGGAAAGCAGGAAGGAAGAGCTCTAAGACATTCAAGTTAGAAAATTGATACTGAAACAGCCTCAGACACTTAATAGCTATGTGAACCTTGGCAGGTCACTTAAACACTGTCTGCCTGTTTCCTCAACTATCAAGTGGAAATAATAGCACCTGTAATTCACACAGCTGTTGTGAGGATTAAATGAGATAATGGTAAAGTCCTTAGCACAGTGCCTAGCACGTAGTAAGCACTTAATAAATGCTTGTTCCCTCCCCTTCTCTTACTTGTTCACTTATTGACTGACTGAAAAGAATGATCAAGAAATACTTTACATAAAAGGTGGCATCTGAATTAATCTTTAATGGACAGGGAGAAATTAAACAGGCCAAGAGGGTATTCTGGCTAGAGGGAATTAGAAGAACAAATGCACAAAAGTGGAGACCTACAAAGCATGTTCACAGAACAGGAGTTCTCTGTACAATCTGACTCCAGCATAGCATATATAAAAGAAAACAATGTAAAAGAGACTGGTAAAGATAGAATCATGCCAGATTGTTATGATTCTTGAATAGCAATTAAGCAAATCTGAATTTTAATGGGTAGAAAATAGTGAGTCACTTTAGAGTTCTAGATCAGACCAAATAAGAAAGATTAACCTAGCAGCAACTAAGGACAGATTGGAGAAGAGTAAATAAAGACCTCAGGCTATTGTCATAGTTAACAGATGTAAAAGGAGAAATCCTTAGGAATCCATGAGGTCTGAATATGAAGGTTAGGGAAAAAGACAAATAAAGCACTCAAAATGTCAATGCAGGAAACTGGTAAATACTGGTATAACTGATAGGAATCATTAAGTCAGAGGGGAAACCAGGTTTATTAGTGGAAAAAGTAAGATGGTTCATGTCAAGTTTAGTCTGAGGTAGCAATAGGCCAATCATATGAAGAGGTCCAATAGGCATTTCCAGATAAAAGGCTTTATAGTGCAGTGGACAGGTCAGAGACAGACACACAAATATGAGTCATCTAGAGCAGAGCTTCTTAAACTTTTTCCACTCATGACTCCTTCAAAACTTTTTAAACTGTGGATCAAGACAGTTTAAGTAGAGTGCAGCAGCAATAGCAGTGGATTGCCAAGGGAGTTAGAAAAGAACCAACTGACAGAATTGTAGCAGGGGGACAGTGTGCACAACTCTACAAGGCTTAAAGAAAAGGGAATTGAAAAGCCAGTTAGGAGCAGTTGTGTCTCCCTAGAAGCTACCTGGCATATGGACCCAAAGCGAGTGAAAAGTAAATACTCCAACTTGGGAAGAAGCTGAGACAGTCTTTTCCAACCCTAGGAATACAGATACCATCAAATGGGGAGGAGTCAGAAAGTAACATGAGAATACAAGGGAAAAAAGACTAAAACCACCAAAGATTTTAAGAGGAAGATACTTAATTAAAAAGTAGAGCACAAGGAAGATAAAAAATACTAAAATCATAAGGATACGAAGTAAAAACTCACAAAAATCACAAAGTTCTCCAAATAATTATTACAAGACAAAGGAAATTGAATCAATGCCTGATGAAACAGAAGGAAGGAAGGAAAGAAGGAACAAACAAATGACTAATTAAGGCCTTACTATGTGCAAAGTACTATGCTAAGTGCTGGGCAAATG